TATGCAAAAGACATCTCTCTCTCTCTCTCTGACAATACTTATGGTATGTTGCCGAGGAGAACAAAACTGTGATTGCTCATTCATTCATACTCTTTTCTCTTAGGTTTGAAACAAAATATATAATTTCTATACGAGTTACTTTGAATATCACATAAAGGACCACTCCGCATGATCAGTATTCCATGAAGCATGTTAAGCATTGTATCCATATTGGTTTGAAAACACAATATATGTTAAGCATGTTAAGCTCCTTTTGGGATTTTCTTAAGCTTCGTAGTATCTTTACGATTTGATTGAATTTGATGGTTTGCCACTATTACCGAAAGCTCAAGCTGTTACGACAAATATTTTATAGTCTAGCACTTCATTTTCTCAGTTTGGCCTCATTACACCCCTAGAACCCAACATGTAGGATTCATGTTCATATTGGGAGGTTGCATTGCAAGTGCAAGGATTCGAATTCAGGACTCCTGCTTTATAACCTAACATGATTGTTTTCAAACCAGGTTGTAAGTTATGATTTCAAGGAGGAGAGATTCGCGCATCTACACCGGGCTGCAATTGGCTTTCCCGAGTCAAGGTTCTTCTACGTGGGCACCCCAGCAATTTCTACTGCAAAAGAAGCAGCCCGGAAAGGAGAAGCAGTCGTGCGGACTCAATTCCAAGAAGATCCATATGGATGTCGAGGTTCACTTTACCGTAAAAAACTAGGGCGCGATCCGTTTCACCGGTCGGTTCCCTATCCAAATGGGTGTCCTGAAATTGAAGGTCTTTTCAGATATTGTGGGTCAGCTCCTTATCCAGGGTCCCTTCCGTGGCCTAAAGAGCAAACTTAATCTGGATAATTCTACTGGCCTTGATGTATAGAACAGGAGAATCCACCTAACAGTCAGAAAGGGAGTTCCAATCTCACAATAACATACGATTTTGTTTTCCTTTGTAAACAACATTCTTTAAATCAATAAGAGCACGTTTACGTACACGTAATGGGAATCAAAACATGGAATCGTATTCCGATTACGGACCACTTCTGTGTTTACTAAATTTTAAGGAATCAAAAATATGGTGGGACTCACACAAAGTTTGGAATTCAATTCCTCACTTTGGAGGAATTGGATCCCTTGATAGTAAGTGGTATTTGAGTTCCGGAAGAATGAGGGAATGGGGAATCCATTTTTCATACCCATAATGCCCTCACATAATTGCTGAAATTCCAATGATAAAACCAGCACCCGTGCCTAGTGCTAGTTTGTTTCCTTCTCCCTCACTACCGCCCCCTTCCTGTCTTCCCAAGGCCACATACCCATCATCATCTTCCTAGACAACAACGACAACCAGAAAACAAGATCAAGCGAAAGCTGAAGAAGAACCCATTTTAGTTATTTCTTTTTAACACAATGCTAAAAACCAAACTCCGCAAATTCAAATCAACATGAAATACCCCGTAAACTAAACTTCAAAGAAACTACATCACCACAGCCAGCACTTCCCATATGCCTCAAACCCACTGTGAATTTCAAATTGTTGAAAGATGATTGAGGCAGAGATAGAGAGAACGGTTGGGTTGGGGTTTGGGTTAGTTTTTTATTTTTAATTTTATATCAATTGACTTGATTTCCTATAAGTTCTTATAAAATATTTATTTATAATAAAGGGCATTCTAGTAATCATACAAATTCGATTCAAGTGAATTAGCAAACAACTTATATTCAAACAAGACCATTTATACTCCGATTCCAGAAAACTGTAGTAAACAGCTTTAATGGAGATCTAGATTTCAATTCTCCTCAATTCAATTCATCCTCAATTCAATTCTCCCACAATCCAATTCCATCTATTTTGATTACGGATTAGTAAACGGGCCCTAAAGGTATATGAAAAGATGAGTTTTCCATTTTAGGGCACTATCGATTTTAATAGTTTACTACCACTTAGTATTATGGTCTAGTGATATTCCTCTTCATTTGTAAGAGAGAGATCTTAGATTCGATTCTCGTCATAGGCGAATTTGAACCACATTATTGCTAGTCTATTATGAGGCTAAGCATTCCCCTCTACCTTTACGTAGATAATATTGTTTGTTCAGAATTTTGACAGTCTACTGGTCCCCGGGTGGCAGGTATAGTTGCATGATTTCACCGCTCGTCTCAGTTGGTAGGTTGATAGGTGGTAATTTTAAGTTTCCTAGCTGCTACGCTTGGTGTTTAGGGTTCAGATTTTTTATTTATTTGGGACTAATGTTTGTGTGTGTTTAGGGTTCAAACACCCAAAAAGAGACTTCGAAGAGTTGGTTTTTGCCATCATTGGGTTGGGTATGGCCCGTTGACATGACATATCATGGGTGGCCCGGAGTGCCCATGATGCATCGGTGGCCTAAGGCCCAATATCCAATGGGCTGATGAATGTCATATTCCCTTGAGATAATATGTGGTTTGTTCACAATGTCAATAGTAAAACCGTCATAGTGAGCGTACAATACAATTGTTCTTCTTCTATTAGATGTGTTTAATTTATGTCTCCACAATTACTATTCATAGTATTTAAAAATTAATAATGTGAATAGTAAATTATTGTATGGATGAGATTAATTTTTCCTAATGTTTTCTAATTTAGAGTCGTGGCTAACATTTGCATGGCGTTAGCTTGATATCATCTGCCTCAGGCACTAGTGGGGGCTCGATTTGGCTGATGCCTTTGTGGTGTTGAATCCATTTGGGATTTTAACGTCAAATTCACACACGCATTCTCACGTGTAGCAAAATTTGTGAGCTTAACACGCATACAATTTTATTTGGATGACATAAGTTCAACCACAAAACCATTTCAAAATAAGATGTGTGATCCAACTCCTTACGAAGCCTTTCGAAACTTCATAACTCTCCAATATTGAACTTTTAACTTTACATCCTCAAATCTTATGTATCTCTTTCAAAGAAATTTTAAATTACTACTTAACTAGGGACAAATTGTTGTGAAAGGAATATCGATTGTCACCCAAAAGTAAAGGAGAAAATTAGTATTATTATAACCACTTGGGTATTAAAATTTCTTTCTTGTTAATATTCCTTTGGACATATATATATATATATATATATATATTTAACCTTAAATGAGTCATTATTAAATTATTAGTAGTAATAGTATATTGGAAAGGTTATGTACAATGGCAAAACTTGTTTAAAGGGACGACCCAAGCCAAATAGGCTCTCTGCTTTGCGAGTCGAGAGGGGAACGTCTATCGTACGCAGTCTTATTCTTACTTGGCAAAACTTGTTTGTTATCTTTTAATCTATGCCAAATTTATGCGATTAGTACTCTAGTTTAATGATTTTTTTACTTATAGCGAGAGATTTTAAGCTTGCTCGCTTGAATGACGAATTTGATACCTATTCCTTATGAATGATCCAATATATCATTTTGCTAAATCAAAATCTTTACTAAACTATGACCAAAATAAACATATTCATGAGCTTATTGTGAAAAATCAATGAGGAATTAGTTGAATGAGTAATCTCTCCCACCTCATAGAATTGAATATTATTGTATATAAAAAATAAAATAAAAATCTAGGCTTACATATATGATTATCTTTGATGATAAAGACACATTATCTCTTTCATTGGATTGCCATTTTCTAAAGAGATTAGTCCGAACAATAAGTTACTCCTTGGTTAATGCAGGGGCTCGGCAAAACTGGCCGAACGGTTAATTTGGTTCGGTTTTGATTATGAAATGGTCAAACAGTTTCAAAATCAAATCAACTCATATCGTTTGGTTGTGCTAATTTAACTTTTGTGGTTTGTTGCAGCTTAGTACTACAATCTAGTAATATTCCTCTTCACTTATAAGTGAGAGGTCTTAGTTCGATTATCATCAAATGCGAATTCAACCCATATTATTGCTAGTAGATTGTAAGGCTAAATACACCTCTCCCCTTTAGTATAAATATTATCGTTTGTCAAAAAAAAAAAAAAAAACTTTTGTGGTTTGTTTGTGTTATTTGGGAGTGTGGAGTTACAAAACAATTCAGCGAAAATATAACACGCGGTGCTGCAGTTTTAAAATTAAATAATTAATTTTTATTTTCATGATTATTGATAGTGGAGTTACAAAACAATTCAGCTAAAGATGTTTAATTCTTGTAATTCACCAATAAGTTTGAGACCCTTTAATCTTTTGTGTTTATTACCCTATCAACTAAGACGTGATCCTAGAGCTATACTTAGAAGCATTTCTCCATCATTTGCTTCATTCCTCATCGCTTAGTCATCTTCTTCCTACAACCATCTTCTCTCCTCATATCAGATCTTCCTAGTGTTTTCTTACTGGCAAAAGAATGATGTTCTTCTATTTGAGCTTTGGACTATTTATGTTGTGTAGATATGCTTGAGTGACAAAACATTTCAGTTAGACTGTTGTATTATAGAAAAGGTTCGAAATCCGTCAGCTCCCTCATTTAACACCTAACCACTAATGATATCATCTATTAAAAAAAACCACTAAAATGACAGCCATTTAAATCAATGGTTATATGATTTTCAATTTTGGTGATTTTTTAGTAAAGATTATCTACGGAGGATGATTTAAAATAGACTGTTAGACTATAGAGATATAATTTGGAATAAGTTCTACCAAAACTTTTCTCATATAAGCTTATTCGAGGAGTTCCTGAATCATACGGTTTACGGTATAAGATAACTACAAGGTCACATTAAGAATAAAGCGTTATTTCAAAATCACAGGTCAAAACTAAGGTCGCCATCAATAAGTTATGAACATCCATATGAGAGGAGCATTTCAATAAAGAAATATATCCGACACCGTAAAGATATTATCTTTAACTACTATCGATGAAAGCTGGCTATGCTCTCATCAGCACCAGTCTATATCTGGTAACAGTTAATTTACAAATAATTGGTTTGGGGTGGGGGCGTGTGTGTTGCGTGCCTCATCACCAAGAGAGTCGTACGTCGACAATGATGCAAACATATACGAAGCTCTATGTCTCTCTGTTTCTATAAATCCAAGATTTCGGCAGCCACTGTGGAGTTGGAAACAAGAAAACCAAATTAGAATGAAAAGGAAGTTAATGGATCAGAATATGGGATCAGAGATTAGATGTGCCATTGAAGAACTCTCCGTTATGGTCAAGGTTAAAGGTGCTATATTGGTCCCAGCGGCTGAACATGGTGGTGGTGATCATGCTCACGAGGCTGCTCATATTCCCACCAGGCCTTTTCTTTCTCTCTGCAGCTTGCTTCTTCAAGTTCTTGGTCTCTCTCTCTCTCTCTCTCTCTCTCTCTCTCTCTCTCTCTCTCTCTCTCACACACACACACACACACACACACACATATATATATATATATATATATATATATTACGCACCCTGCCATGGTCAAATACCATTTTACAGTTGTTTTTTCCTTTTTGCAGATAAAATAGGACCTACAATGGCTGTTCTAAGCCAAGATATTCATCAAAATATTCGGGTAATTACAAAAAAAATCTTAGTGTTTATATGTGTATGCATATATTGTATATCGATGTATGAACAATTTATACACCATATAGAATTATGTTTATACTGATATACTTAAATAGTTAAATACGCATATATATATATATATATTTATATATAGATTAGCATTGCAAAAAAACATGATATTGTTTCTTCTAGGACCTTCATGTAGGAATACATATAATTACATATACCAAGATGCTCCACACGCTGAAGTCTCCATAAAGCCTTCTTAATCCATTAGCAATGGGTTTCCAATGTGAAACTTTATTTCCAAGTCCACTCTATCTCCCTTTGACTATTCATGGTAGCAGAAACAACCCAAGATGCATGTTTCAAATAAGTAATATCGATGCTTTGATGTATCGAGCTGTGTTCATTGTGCACTGATAATTTTATGCTCAATATGTACTACTGAAGTGATTGGTTTCAAATAAGTAATATTGATGTTTTGATGTATCAAGTCATGTTCATCGTGCACTGATAATTTTATAATCAATATGTACTACTTAAGTGATTGATTTGTCCTTAAAACTCTCTTTAATAAGAAAAACTAATGAAAAGAGCTTGAAAACTTTGAGTTTTAACGATAAGGACAAAATAAAAGGTAAAATGAATAGTACCATGATTGACTTTTTAGTGTAAAAATGTGATTTTTCGTTAAAGTGAACAGTACCGCGGGCTTTTCGTTAAAACTCCCTTTTTAATAACCACTCTACTTATTGTTTTATATATATATGTGTAGAGATTGGAAACGAAACATGAATCAGATCTTTCGACATATTCAAATATGGTTGAGATGTTGAAAAATGAGGCGACTGAAGGCATTGCTAGAAACGTTACCAGTTGTAGTAGAGCCTTTGTTTGGCTTACCAGGTAATTTAATTACTGTGTTTGCCCTTGACTATGTGAAAAACAACGAGAAACGTCTATATTTGGGCGGAGAAATTTAAAAAATTAATTTGGATTTAACAATAAAGCCAAATGTTACCCAAAATTTTGAGATTATTACGTATGAAATGACTGTGTGAAAAGAATCATTTTGGAATCCATTTTTGTTCTTTACTTCCTTCTTGTCCAAGTCTCCATCAATTATAATAATCTAAAACAAATAAATTTTTTATCTTATGATGTCATATATATAAATCCCTAGATTTGAAATTATCAAATCCAAATGGCCCCTTATGTATTATCAAATCTAATTGTTCTTGTCAAGATTTTAAAGAGGTGACTAATGACTTATTAATAATCAACATCGATATTGTCCTCAACTTAACTACATATGTGATTCAATAAGTATGAAGTTTTATCACACAAAATCTTGAAACATTTAAAAGTAGAACTACTTAATATAAGTTGTATTTAAGTTTGTTAGATTTTGATGCGTGAGAATTTACCTTCTTTAACAGTACCTAGCTTAAGTTTGTCTCTACTTTACAACTAGTCATTAGTTTTCTAGTGACAGATAAATCAAAATCAGCTTTGTTTAACACAAATATCGATTAGGTTTTTTTTCATACATAAAACTTGTTTGGTAACTGTTTTTCATTTTCAAATAAAATAAGAGCCGAAAAAGAAAATCATGTCAAATCAACATTTACGAAATTTGAACTTAATACCCCTCACTTACAAATAAAAAAAATACTACTGGAACGTAGTACTAATTGGCGAGTTGTGCAGTTATTCAATTATTCATAATTCACTAATCGGCCCCACTTTATTTTTTGAGATTAGACGTTACTTATGCATCAAAGTTGTCTTTCATTGCTAATGATAACGACCTTATAGTACTTAAACCATTATTTAGGTGTATAATTGGCACAAAATCGTGGATGTATCAACTGCTTCTTGCACAAGATGCTTCATTTTCGTTATAAACAAATTGGTTTGTTCTACATTCAGATCCCTAGATTTTACCGTGGCCTTGTTGCAAAATTTAGTGAGAGATCCCGGGCAGAATATGCAGCAGGCAGTGGAAGAGTCTTATAACATTACTTTGAAGCCATGGCATAGGTGGATTTCATCAGCTGCTTCTAAAGTATTACTCTCTTCTTTTTCAAAAGCTAGCTATATAGCTATTCATTATTTGTTCCACTGTTACTGCCCCAAACTTAAGCAACTTATCTAGCTATTCATTAGGTTCAACACACAGTCATGTTAACACCGAGTGGCATGATGTGTCGTATCAATTTTGCTTATAATTTTGATGAACAAAATATACTATACCATCATGTCAGGTGATTTATATGGAATGACTTTTCTCTATAAGGGGCTTTCTTTTCTAATTAAGCCTACGATTGCTATCCAAGAAGGACCATGAATAGCTGAAACTTAAAATTTAACAGCATGGAGATAATAGGCCACATGGAGCAACATAAAATTTTACTTGGAATTACTTACAAATATACCGTATGCAGGTAGCCCTAATGCTAGTGCCTGACAATGAAACATTCATTAGTAGCCTCATGGCAAAAGATGAAAACTATGACAACTTGAAACTGGAAATAGAGAACTTGGTTTCCTTACTCGTGCCTTATCTGGAAGAAATCCACTCGATTCTGGTTAAGTATTCAACCACCCAACGCTTACCGGATGCTTCTTCTTTGGCTAACATATCTTTTGACATGTTTGATTATGCTTGGTTTTTGCAGAGATTTTATCACTTGGATAGGTTGAAGTCTAACTGAGGTACACAGGTAAAGAAAGCAAAACTAATGAGTGTACAGCCATGAGTCAAAGAGTCCAGCATTCCTGTGTATATGTGTGTGTGTGTGTGTGTAGATAAATATGTGGAAATCGTATTTGGTTGTGTACTTGATAAAGCAAAATTGTCTTTGTGTTTCGTATAAGTTTCTAATGTATCTCAATATGAAGGAACATCTATCTATGATATCCTGTGTACAGTTTTATTGGAAAATACTCACGAGTTTGGGTGCTTATGAATCTTTGCTTTTCATATAGTCGGTTTCCAGCATCAGGCATCACTTGGAAATGAGGACATGATCCTTAGAAAGTGTTTTGAGGATTCATTAGCTCCAATTGCAATTAGCTGTTATGGAATGATTAAATCACAAATACTATGCTTGATTTGCTGAGAGGGATGCGGTCTGAAAGCTAAGGACTCACAAGTTTAGCAAGAGAGATTATGCATTAAATTTCTCTCATGTGCATCACATACCTGTACATGAAATGAGCATCAATTTACTTAATTAAATCATAGTCACTCGTTTTCATTTGAAAAAATAGAAGGCCGAGATTTGATGAAGTAAGTTAACGCTTATTCCATACACATGTGCGTGATACGTCTAAGAGAAAGTCTGATGCATGAAATTCCTTTATATATGATTATAGTTTGGGCTTAATTAAGAGGTGTTTTCATAAGGTTTCTATAGTGATTATTAAGGCTAGGAATATCTAAGTTCAAGTAGCTGATTATATCGTAGTTCAAGCCTGCATGCTATACCATTAAGTGCAAAGGTAGATTTTTGTCATCATTCTAAAGTGGTGGTAATACTCATTACCCTATTTATTACCATTGTATAAAATTAAATTTTGAGATTTAAACTCATCTAATAGTGATAAATCGGATGGTGACAAGCATCACCATCACTAGAGGGCAGAGAGCAAAAATATTCACTAAATGCAAGGCACTTCGTTTTCTCCTCCAAAACTGGAACATGTGCTAGAAAACCAGCGCGCTTCAGCTTCCCTCTTATGCAAGGAGTTAGGCAACTATTAGTGTCACGCCCCGATCCCGACATACGTCCAGGATCAACACGTGACGTCACCAAATACTCGTATATCTCACATACCCCGCCTCCGGGATATGGCAAATCACAACTCGAGAATCAAATTTCATAGTAATTTTTCGTTTACTTTATGGCTGCATCTAACCTTCTCGTTAGACTGCTTACGTACCCTCAATAGGGATCAAGCCATTCGTAGTTCACTTATCACAAGATCAGACGTTTATTCCATTAAGTTCAAGCAGAAAAGCATAGCATTCCTCAAGCATTTGTTATACCTGATAGCATGAAATTCCTGGACTCAGGCTACATAACAAACCCCCATGAAAACATGATTTCTCTCACATCCAACATATAAATCATTATGTCTCATCATGATATCGCAATTCACAACATAAAGCATATTTAGAACCGACAAAACACAAAACCATTCTCTAGCCACATTAATTAATTAATTTGATCAAAGTAATAACAATCATTCCCATATCTTCTAAATTCATACCTTGTGAAATCATAATCGAATCGTAGAAAATCCCAAAGGAGTCACCCAGACGTCTAACATCTTTTCTAACTCAATTCACAAGATTCTCGAAACCATTTTCACAAATCTATATAAAACTAAGGGTAGAGTGACACAATTAGGCTAAGCCTACCTCTTCAAATAATGGGATTTTAGACCACTCCACGAAATCCAACAACCTCGGGTTTCAGACCACTCAATGGAGCCAAACTAAATACGATCGCTTATCAAATGTACCAAGTACAACTAATCATCATCACCTCTAGAATGCGTATGGTCCCCCATCGCGGATATACCAAGCAGAACCATAGGCATAATCTCATCGTGCATGCAGTGATCACCCATCGCGGATATACCAAGCATGATCACCCCTGAATACATATGGTCCCCCATCGCAGATATACCAAGCAGGACCACATCCTAGCTCTAGGTAGTGACCACCCATCGCAGATATACCAAGCATGATCACTTCTAGCATGCATATGGTTCCCCATCGCGGATATACCAAGCAGAACCATATGCATAGTCTAATACCGTAGGCAGTGATCACCCGTCGCGTATATACCAAGGATAATCACTCCTAACAGAACTCCATCGCGGATATACCAAGCAGGATTGTATCATATAGCTCTAGGAAGTGATCACCCATCGCGGATATACCAAGCATGATCACTCTTAACATGTGTATGGTCCCCCATCGCAAATATACCAAGCAGGACCATCCAGGTACCAGTACTACATGGTGCAGTCTCATCATCACACATTATACATAATTATACGCATACACGCTATCAATTCCACATATCAACCAGCATCTAGTCATATGGAACACAGCACAAGGAATTCCCTTAACTACTATTTCTACTAAAAATCTAATAAAGTACCTAACTCATCTCCTGACTTTCATCCCCATCTCATGCTAGGTAGTAATGCCAAGTTCAAATAGGTATTCAGTTGGCAATCATATCCAAATTATTATCAAACAATATTCGATCCCATAATTGCCATAATATTCATCATAATTATCATTCACATATATATCACAAACATCATCAGTACACAAGCCAAATCATATTTAATAAGCATAGGTCTATGGCTAAATATATAAAAATCACATTTCAATAGAAATCATATTTATAAGACCAATTCATATTCACAATGTTACAATATAAGAAATTAAAATAATAATCATATCTCATATATTCAAGTCACTATCTAACCAATATAGGCCCACTAGACTTCAATTAGTCCCGTAGTACTAATTCTAGTATCTAGAACGTTTCGAGAGATGTTGACCAAAAGTCAACTCTTGGTCAACGGTAGGGTCCACAACTCTACATAATTCGATCCGAAAGATCCGCCAATCGGATTTTGGATCCGTAACTTCCTAAGGTACTCATTATACTCATAGAACATCATACTAAAGTCTCACCACGATCCAACGGTCAGATCTCAGCCAATCACAATTTCTAGTGGCGGTCAACGTTTTATTTTACAAACTTACAAACCCAATTCGGGAAGATCCGTATGTCGGATTCCCAATCTGTAACTTTCTAGTGACCTCAAATATTATGTATTATAACCTATTAAATTTTGGTGACGATCCAACGGTCGGATCGTCAATTCACTTAAGGTCCAAGGGGCGGTCTCTATCCAAACTATAGTCATACGATGAGATTCTGTCAATCGAACTTCACATATGGAATCATGATATCCAAATTAATCTAGAAAGGGCAGGTGGGGGTCTCAGTCCATGCGCCACCGCACGTGGAGGCTGGCCGCCCCGACTCGCCGGAAAATTCCAACTAATCTAAAAATTACCAAATTTTACAGGAAATTAGATCTCAGTGAGGGGAGCAATTTTCATATCTGGGCCGAAGTCCAATTCGGCCGGGAAAAGCCTGAAATCTCCCACGAACCACCGGAACCCTAGAATTGGGTGTGCTCCAACTTGACCTCAAAACATGCTTCGACGCCCCAACCATTGATTGGGCTTTGTTCCCGAGGTGGATGGATGTATTTTGGTGGTGATAATCGACGGAGTGAGCTTCAGAAATGGCGAATTACCGCCGAGACACCATCGCACCCACCAATGCATTTCTTGCGAATCCAAGGCCAAATGTCATGAATTTTGGGATGGAATTGGTAGAGGGTAGGCTAGGAAGTTGTTTCCAGGTGGTGATTTGGCTCGATTTGCCGTGAAAAGCCATGAATGGCGTCGGGAAGCATGGCGCACCACCGGTCGGGTCAAACCAAAACGAGTCAGGGATCTGATCCCGTGCGTCCCCTCCCTCCTTTCCCTTTTTTCTTTCTTCCCTGATTCATTCTCCTTCTTCCTCTCTCCTCTTCTGATTTGTCCCCCTCCCTCATCGTTCCTCCTGTTCCTCCCCTTTTTCCCCTTTTATCTCCTTCTACTTCCCCTTTTTTTTATTTATTTATTTTTCTTTTCTTTTCTTTTCTAGCTGGTTCATTTCCCCAAATACGAATTACGTAAATTAAATATAAAATTATGGGGACAGGATATCACATTTAGTATTCTGTGTGACCGAGGGCTTCGACTAAAGAAGAGAATCCAAAGCCCTACATACTTAGCAAGTGACCATTTGCTACAGTAGTGGAAAAGTGTTGGGTCATTGTATAATGGCATGAGTTCAAATCCTATCGGTGGTTAATCTAACATCTCATCTAACAAAACCTATAGTTTGACAAAAATAGAAAAAATAGCGCTCCATACAAAAAAAAAATCCCAAAGCTATTTTAAGAGAAAGGCTTAACGACAGTGACCATTCTTTGAACAAGCGGTCGAGGACTTGTTAACGCATTAAAAATGAAAATAACAAAAACATTACATCCGCAAGCCAGCTCTAAAAATTCAGATGATAGAACCATGAGGACAAAAACGACCGCCATCAACGACCGCTCGTAGCCTAAATTGTTTTTGGACAAAAAGAAACGAGAAACATCAAAAGTACTAATTTGACTAACCAACTAGATTAAAAAATCGGTTCACATAATTTTTAGTCCGTCCTGCGTCACTGAGCAAAGAAAAGCCCAACCATTCGTCCACGTGCCGTCTTCTTATCTGTACAGATAGAGATGGCAAAACCACCACCCTTTGTCAATTGTATGATTGTATCACACACAGTGTAATTTCGTTTGGGAGCAAATTGCAGTGTTTTGGTCAGTGGCTGACGTGTGGTATGCAGTTGTTATTGCATGTAAGACCCAAAAAATGCAGTAACATTCATGCAAATATATCGTCTTTATTTTTCAATGAGATATTGCACCAGTACCTTACAGATAATCACAAATATTTCCATATAAAAAACAGCTTAACAAAATTCCTTAACATATAGCTAGCTTTGTGTGCCTAATGGGCATAAATTATTGATTTGCTAGCAATACTATTAGGTTTCATAGGAGAGTTACTAAAACTACCCTGTGCTCCTCAGAACTGGGCAGGTTGAAGTTGTCTCTTCGGAAGAATTACCCAATTTCGCACCCTTCAGAAGACCTCCAACTAGTTGTCCAGGGTCATAGAAGAACTCCACCTTAACAATTTTCTTGTGTTCATCCACCTGTTTGGTAAGTTTGTTAGGATTTTTCCTTGATGTGAGTAATAATAAAATCATAGTTTAGGGTAGTCAAGAAAACAAATGGACTTATATCAATATTGGACTTGTAGTAATTTAATTATGATAAATTACAGAGGAGGGAAACAATAGAACTCAAACTTTTGAATTAAAGTTGGTTTCAAACTCTAAAAACTGACATGTAACTGTTGCCACGATAGGAGGAGCAGTTATCATTTTAGACGATAAAAATAGCTTGGTCCATCTTCTCAGATTACCATGTTCATATAGCACTAGTCCTATTGAAAGTGAGAACTATTACGAATCCAAGAGAAGAGAAGAACTTTGTTGCTAGATTTTCATGGTGAATCCTACAAGCAAACTTATTGTCTTGTACACTTATATATTATACTTTTAGGGAACTTTAACGAAAAGCTTCCGGTACTGTTCACTTTAACGAAAAATCACATTTTTACATTAAAAAGTCAATCATGGTACTATTCACTTTACCTTTTATTTTGTCCTTATCATTAAAACTCAAAGTTTTCAAGCCCTTTTCATTAAAACTCAAACTTTGAGTTTTAATGATAAGGACAAAATAAAGGGTAAAGTGAATAGTACCATGATTGACTTTTTAGTGTAAAAATGTGGTTTTTCGTTAAAGTGAACAGTAACGGGAGCTTTTCGTTAAAGTTCC